TTCCCCAGCCACTGAACCCCATGAGCCCTACTGTTCCCTCTGCCCTGGTGGCCTATGCTAGGGCCCTGAAAGGTGGCCCCCCATGCAGATGCAATGCCCCACATGATTTCAGAAATGCCAATTCTGCCTGGTTGCATCACCCTCCTCTTTGACATCAGCAGCCTGCAAAGGCTGGACCAGGGACCGCCTGCTGCAGCAGATTCAGGGCTGAGACACAGGAGAGGCAGTGAATGAGGACACTCAGACGCCCCGCTGCTTCTCGGCTGCAGATGAGGTTGGGGGAGTAACTGAGCAATGCCTCAAGTGCCCTGAGGATGTCTGATAACTCCCATATCTGCTTATTCTGCTCTGAGAAGACCCAGAAAAATCACCCACAAGTTACAGGGCAAAGAAGAGAATGGGATATGAAGCTGAAGAAATGGCAATGTCAATGGACACAGAGAAAGGAGATTTAGGGACAGCCACAGGAAAATGACTAAGTGAAGTATTCGATGTGGCCTCAATGAAACACCACCATTCTGTCTTCTAGAGGCAAACACATGGGGCAAAAATGAACAGTCAGTGAATCTGGATGAAGAGCATAACGGAGTCTATTATTTCCCTCTTGCAACTGCTCTATAAGTTTGAAAAATATTTTAATTAATAGTTTAGGGAGGGGCCAGCAGTTGGCATAATGGCTGGCGCTGGACTCCCTCCTAGGCTGAGGCTGGGCCCCCGTGATAGTCGAGTCCTGGACCCTGTGGCTTAAACTCACGCCGGGAGTGTGTGCATGCATGCCCAAGATCCTGAGAGAATGGAGGAGAAGGGATTGTGGTGGTGGTCATCCACCTTGGGGGGTGATTTCTCACTTTGTCTCTCTGTCTCTCTCTGTCTTTCTGGTGAGTACACGTACCCTATAGCAAAAACCTCTCCAAAAAAAAAGTTTAGGGAAATGGATTAAGCATATTGTGGAATGTTTGGACTGAGCCTTACATGAAGACACAAAATTATAATAGAAATAATAAAATTAAGTTTTTATTATTAAAATTAAAATAAATATGTAAAATGGCATTATTTGAAAATATGAAACACAAAGAGGATAAAAAGTAGGCCAAGTGGTGTGTACGCAGCTGGGTAAAAACACATGCACACGAATTGAGATTAGAGGCAAAGTGAATGCTGTAAATGGACTTGCTATTCTTTTAGCAGGTTTTTAAAAATATATATATTTATTGCCAGAGAGTACATGTGCTGGCTAGACAGAAATGAGAGTGGAAGAGGCAAAAAGCATCCCCCAATGGGGTGTAATCACACAATCCCTTCTCCATTTCTTGATCTCGTTGGGATTTGAGGAATGCATGCATACGTGCCTGGTGTGATTTTCCAAGCCAATGGGAGTTCGGGATTTGAACCATGGTAAGCCATGTGGGATCTGGCTCTCCTAATCACCAGACTATGGGATTGGCCCAGTGGGTTTTTAATTTTTTCCTGTAAGTGGGCTTTAGTTCATAATTTCAGCAGGTCGAGGTGCTTCAATGTCCTCTCCAGGACATGTAAAAAGTCTAGTGAGCTGTGAGTGCAGAGGGAGGGGTGCCATGATCGGCAGCTCACTTGGAGTTTAAAGGCAATGGATAGGGAGGAGCAGGTGAGATCAAATCCAGCATTAGGTTCCAGAGCCAGGCAGCCCTGGGCCCAAGCCCTTCCACTGCAAGGTCTAAACGGATGCCCATGAAAGCCTAGCAAGGAGAGCCCGTCCACAGTGGGAGCTCCACGAACTGTCATCTGGGTGTTGATGTTCACATAATTAGACCTTGGGGTATGGGAAGGGGGGATGGGAAAGGAGACAAGGGTTGGACTTTAATTGGTCCCTCCTCCTACCAACTTGTCCTCTGGGACAATGACTGCCACACTCTGTTGGAACTTCTGCAAAAGGACGTCAGGCTCTTCAACCCAGAGGAGGAGGTGGAGCCAACCCCAGAGGCACCAACCCTTGGTCTGGGTAGAGCCACCTCCAATAGGCTAAACTGGGAAGCTTTAGGTACCACGGGGACTCACACTGTCGACTTGGTTGGCACACCCTCCCTTGCCACTGCATGCTGGTGGAGAGGCAGAAACCCCACCGGACCCAGCTCTCTGAGAGTCAGACTAACAAGCACAGGCAGTGTGAGGATGCTGCCCAGACTGCTGGGTTGTCTACGCCTCTGGGGGGAGAGCAGCAGTTAAAGGAAAGCACAAGAAAGAATCAGGGGCCAGACTCCCATCTGGTTCCAGTCTGCCCTGCTCCAGGCTGGGCAGCGTTGGCCAGGGCTCTTAGCCAGCCTGAAATCTAGTTCTCTCACACCTACACCAAAGGAGGAACGACCATCTCAAAGCACATAAACTCTTAGCTCAGTGTTTGGCTCATAGGCAACACCGAGCAACGGGTACCAAAAGTATTTCCAAAGGAAAGGAAGTCACTGGACAACCCAAGGGGTGGGGGCTGCTGTTTTCCTACCCAACACCTGTGTCCCTACGTATCCAACTAACAGTTCTTTGGCTTTGTTCAGGGGAGAACACCCTTGTGCTCAAGACAGCTCAGTCCTTGTCATCCTGTTCCCCGCTTCCCACATTTCCTCCAGCATGGTGGCCACATGACCCAGCTCTGGACAATAAAATGCCATTTTTTGGGGGGAGCAGGGGAATGTTTTAAATACCATTCCATAGTAAAAGGGCTCAGAGACCAGCAGATGGCATAATGGCTACATTGCTGGACTTCCACGCCATCAAGCACGGTCCGAGTCCAGGACCCAGGAGCTTAAACTCATGCCAGGTGTGTATGTGGGCGTGCCCAAGATCCTGAGAGGAGAATGGAGAAGGGCCTGCTGTGTGGCCATGCCCCTCTGGGGGGATGACTTCTCACTTTCTGCTTCTCTCTGTCTCTCTGGCAAGTGCACATGCCTTATAGCGAAAAATCTCTCTCTAAAAAAAGGGATCAGATCTTAGAGAAGAGTTTTGCTTTCCTGATAAAAGTGGGCAAAGGAGGCTGCTCCAGCCTTGTCCCTCTTCTTCCTTGAACTCAGGGACAGTGAAGGGCACTGACCTCTAGATGACAGTTAGGAGACCCCATGCACAAGCACACACAAGCCGGCAGGCTAAGGACGCAGGGCAGAGAGAGAGGACAGGGCCCGGCTCCCAGGAGCACTTCTTTTTTTGTTTCTTTTTTTTTAGAGGTTTTTGCTATAGTGCGTGTGTGCTCACTAGAAAGACCACCCCGGGGGTGGTGGGGGGGGTGGTGGTGGGGGTGGTGGCCATGCCTCAATCCCTTCTCCTCCATTCTCCTCTCAGGATCTTGGGCACACATGCACACATGCCCGGCATGAGCTTAAGCCAAGCCACTGGGTCCAGGACGTGAACTGCGGTCGACTACTTGGGACTCCAGTGACATAGCCATTACGTTAACTGCTGGTCCTGAAGGAGCATTTCTGAGCAGCCAGTTCCTTGAAACCTGTTAGGGTGGGAGGGAACCAGCTCCATGTAAGTTGGCTCCACCATTCATTCTTTTCAGTTACTTTTGGCTGAGAGCATTCCTCACTCCTGCAACCAGAAACGGATGAGAAAGCAGACACACACGGAAGAGGTGGCAGCTCCCAGGGCTCTGTGAGCATGAACAGCCACCAAGGTCAGTGCGGCGAGCAGGCAGGAGCACATGTTACCTATCATCCCGGTGACGTAGCCAGCTTCTTGTAGCACCTGTGCCAAGGTGGTCTCGTTCAGCGGCAGACCCCCCACGGAGGTGACTGCGAAGTTGTGTGTGACTCCGTTGCGAAAGCCCAGGCGGCCGGTGAGCAGAGAGGCTCGGGAGGGCGAGCAGGTTGAGGCAGGTGCATGGAAGTCCACAAACCTGCCCAGAAAGGAAAGTGGTCATCAAGATATTCTTTTTTTTTTTTTTTTAAGAATTTTTTTTTAGAGTTTTTTGCTATAGGGTGCGCGTGCTCGCCAGACAGACAGAGACAGACAGAGAGACAGACAGCCAGAAATCACCCCCAGG